AAGAGATAACTTTAGGCAAAAATTTTCAACTAGTAAATAAAAGCTGAAGCTTTTGGACTTAATAGGAAGTTTTTATAAAACGCGACCAGATTCGTGCTGAACAAAAATTTAGCAGACTATATCTTTTTGGGGAGGAAGGAGGGTGAAAATTAATTAAAAAACAGAAGTAGTCTTTTGAGCTTTTAAATGATTTGGGAAGGTATTCATTTTTTTCAGATAATCACCTTTTATTTCATATTTTCCTGTGAGGCCATGTTTAAAGAACTTGAAGTGTATAAGAGCATCGATCAGCATTGTTTATATCACATCCAAAATATTTAAAAGCCAATTCTTTTTAAAAGTTTTTATCTTTGTTTGATGTTAATTATACTTTAGTTCATTATTTACATATAAATTCCAAAAAACTAGGTGTATAAAGATCTGTTAACATTAAGACTAGATGTCTTGCATGATAAAATTAGTTGTATATAGATCTCTATCTTTAAATGTTCAATTTTTCCGTGTTCAAATTCAATTACCGGGTAAGTTACATGTATGTCAATATCCAACTTTTTTGTTACAAAACCATAAAACAAACATAAAAAGAATGTTTTATATCAGCGAATAAAGATATATTTAAAAACGTTCTAAAAAAAAATGAAAGTTTCTTGACTTATGCAGCAAAAATTATTGACAATTTATGAACCATATATTTACTAAGTAATAGCTTAAAATATATTCTACAAATTAAAAAAAAAAGGGAGGTGGACTTTATTTTATCTTTCCGAAATTGTAGTTTGAAAAAAAGAATTCAGTCTGACGTTGGATTTTTTTCTTGACAATTACATGAATTAGGTTGACTTAAAGTGACTTTTTATCGATTTTGATCATCTGATGAAAAAGCAGCAATAACCTTTTTTATTTCATTCATTCCTTCTATAAAATTTAGGTGGTTGTGGAACATAAAATTATATTACTACACTACGGAAATACCAATCCTGTCTTATTAATGGCGTAAAAAAATCCTGCTCGACTGCAAAGATCACGATTATCGAAATTAATCAATTGAAAAAGAAGTGAAAATAAATCTCATAAACGAACCCCTAAAAATTATTGCCTTTGAGGTTGAACGTTAAAATTAATGTCGTTTTAGAAATACGATTTCTTTTCGGTTTAAGAATTAATCAACTCGGTATTCATCCGTCGATCTATGGTGTATAGATCAATTTTTAAAGTGTTTTGACATTTTTTTCTCCTCGATTTTAATTTTACATACTTATTTTTACGACATGAGGCCCCGAGATATCAAACAATATCCTGTTGAGGATCTACAGAATTGCATACATTATAAAATTTAATCGGTAAAATAAATTGTTTGAGGAAGATTTGTCTTAAAAAATAAAACAATCTTAACAAACAAGCAATAAAATGGTCAAACTGGTAATCTGGTTATCTGCAAAAACTCTTGAAAATTTATAGATCTTTTCGTTGTCTTTGTATGCCATTGATTCTTCCCTAGTCTACATGTAAATCATAAATATTGTTTAACCATATTGCAAAAGAGTACATAATTATCCTCTTCCGCGCAACTGATCTTTCCTTCTAGTTATTTCTGTATTATACATTAAATTTTCTTGTACATTTTTCTATGCAGATGACCTAATAATTACCTAGTTTACAGAAATTAATTATCATAGGATACAACTTGAGGTACTGTGAGCACTAAGCTCACTAAATAATACCCCGCCTCCCATATGATTATAATGGCGAAGTCCATGTTTTGTTCTGGGAGACCCGCAATAAGTGTCAGATCAAAAAGTAAAATAGGTGGTGCACAAATGCATAGACCTAAAGCGAAGGGTGACAACTGCATTCTGTAATTTGGAATCTGTGAAAGTATCATTCACATCCAGTGGTATAAGAGGAGTTGCGGATAGGAGACGGGTGCCCCAAAATGTACAGACAAACGGACATCTCGATCACTATATACCCTCCCACTTTTCAAGCGGGGGTATAATAAAAGGATCTTATGAAAAGGAAATAACTTCTGAGAAGAGTAAAAATGATCAACAGAACCCTGTCCTAGAACCAGAGCCCCAACTAAGGTGGTCATGAATGTCACAAACCTAATTAAAACACATTTTCTTATCGCAACAATGTACTTGATTAGTTTACCAGATAAAAAGAATGAGAAATAAAAAAATATTTTCACTTCATGATCAGTAGAGAGATTTAAAAAGATGTCAATAGCCCTTGACATCAAATTAATAAGAAATCAATTTTAGAGCTGTGCGTCTCAATGTAGACCCTTTTCTGGGACACATTTTGCCTCGAAATTATTTCCCTTGGCCGTCATCTTGTGAAGAAAAGTAGTCAGTTTTACTCTTTAAGCAACCAATTTTAAACAAACATGCAAGAAATATATGGGGGAAAATATTTACAATCTTAAAAGTATGAAATAATAGAGGCTTTAACAAAGATATATTCATCAGAAAAATAGTGTTATCTTTACCTAAGTAACCGGTTTAACAAATTGGAACTTGGTTGAATAATGAAAGGATCTGGGAATGTTGACCTACAATATGGCGGCCATGGAGGATAACTCTTGCTTAAATCATCCCAAAGGAAACACTCTATTGGTACCTTTTTACCGAGTGTGAATTGAGCTTTGACCTCTCTGTGAGCATTTCTGTAAATAAGAACAAGGGCACTACAATGCTGAGCATCCCCTCGCATGAAGCACATCGGTCCCGATGCTTGTCACTTCCGTTTAATACAGAACCAACTCACCCACAAACGAACACACACGATTGAGTTACTATATATTCTTCAACTCCATTGCAAGGGTTTAATAAAATTTGATTAAAATTGAGTTTTACGAGGGGTGATCAAAAAGTTCGCGAACTAATTGAATAACTTCCATAAAAGAAACAATATTTGGTTTCAATATTGATTATATTTTAAATTAAACCTTTCCGATTTTAATGCACATCAGCAGGCAATGCTAATTGTTCTGCATTGCAATGCATTACATGCAAATCACGTGATAAATTTATAAATGAATCCTGTAGATTTAGCTAGATATATTATTGAATCACGTTTTTGCTACTATTTTGCATGACAATTATTATGTGTTTTTTTAAGGAGAAGAACTAGTAAGTTGTTAGAACTTGTTTCTTATCCTTTTGCTTGACAATAAAATATGTTCAAAACAATGCTAGTAATGTGTAATGCCCAAAAAATTGCATTACATGTAATGGTAATGTAATGCATTACTTCATAAAATCCAGTGTAATGCTGGCATTACATATTTCTTTTGTAAGATGTACCTATTTTAAGAAATTGAAATTGACATGGATGATGGAAATTTTTATGTCAAATAAAAGTGTTAACCTATTTAGATATAACATTTCTGTATCTATTTAAATACACCTTTAAATTTATTCTGTTGAAGTACACATACATGTATCTTACATTTAAGTTTTCAAACTTATTTCAGATAAGAATTGATTTCAAAGAATTAAATGAAATTGTTTTAATAGTTTTAAAAGATCTTTTTTTTTTTAGATACATATGATACACTAATTAATGTACAAAAATAACTGCCACCTTTTAAATAGCTTGATTGTCATCAAGACACACTTCTGGGTTATATAACAACTAAAACAATGCATTGTTTGGAGAAGTGCTCCAAATTACCAGTCCTTTTCTCCTGACTGTGTTTATAAAACATTAATTAAGAGACCATGAAAATTCCACTGTACCAAAGAAAATAGAAGCCATGCAGGCATTCTATGTTTCACTGTGCTTAGCAGATCATAATGTACATCCTGTCTACTTCTTCAAAATGTTTGTCAATGCATTTATTTTTTTCATAATTATATCAAAATATCTTTATTATATGTTTAAAAGTTAAATTACTTCATGACTCTATTGTACATGTGTTATAAAACTGTAAACTTTGAACTTTCTTTGATTGTAAGTTAATGTTTTATAATAATTATATAATTATTGTTCAAATATTGCAAAGTTTTGTATAAAATTCTATTTTTCAAAAAGTGTAAATTGGAGGTCTTTGATAGCAAATTGCTTAATTAAAAACATATATCTCAGCCACCGTTCTGCAAATATTGCTTTCACTGGATTTTTCTGCTTTCCAAGATGACAAGAACAGTATATTTGTCAGAAATTTTCAACAGAATGGGTGGATAAAAATATCCTTTCCAAAAATAAGCATGCCATTAAAACAGAAATCTTCACTAAAGACCTTTATTCAAGGTGGATCAATCCATATCATTAATATGTTTAAAATTTAAACAATATCTGAGGTTTTTAATAATTATATAATTATTGTTCAAATATTGAACTATTTTACAAAGTGTAAATTGGAGGTCTTTGATAGCAAATTGCTTAATTAAAAACATATATCTTTTCAAACTTGCTTTCACTGGGCAAGATAACAAGTATCATTTTCAACCATCTGATATACCAATCATTAATTGAATTTATAGGAACTCATTTATCCTAAAAACTGTGTACAAATTATTATATGATACTGCAGAGGGATTTCCAAGATATACCATAAATTGTCAGTCGTTTGACTGAAACAACCATTTTTCATCACAAGTGACCTACATAGTGATGACATTTTCACATTGTGACGTCACAAACAAGGAGAAAAACTTTATTCAGCATATGCTATTTATTGATCTTGTGTATGGCTATGTGTGTACCGAATTTCATTCTAATCTGCATTGTGGTTTCGTAGATATAGAGATAGTTCCCGAACTTTTTGATCACCCCTCGTACTTCTTTTTCTTTCATATCCATAATATTATATATCTATAATTACTGCAAGTCCCTGCTCTGTGCTATTGTCTTTACAACCCTTCTTCGGAAAATGTGTAAGGAGGAATTTGAAGTTATTCTTCTGAATGAACTGTAAACTTTGGTCAGATTCCAACTACAACAGGTAACCAGGGCCTTTTATTTTTAAAATAACAGATATATGAACACCAAAATGGCTTTGCTTAATTTAATGCAAGAATTTTCTTGAAATCAAAATTAAACTTCTTGTACACAGAAAGAAAGCAGAGGGTACAAATAGAGATTGACTTTCTTGTCTTCCTATGGTAAGGTCAAACAATGCTATCACAACTGTTCTACTTAGGAGAAGTATTATTCTCTGAGGAAAACTTCTACAGTAGCATAGGAATCATGTTAAATACAGAAAGATATTTGGAATGAATTATTTTTCTAAAGGAAAAGAGATGGATGTATATGAAATTATCATGATGAAGTAAGTTTTAAAAAAAAAAGCATTCTTCCACCACATTCAAATGATCCCCAACATCTAATGCCAACAAACATAACCCTATAATATCACAACAAATGAGACTGTTATCTGGTCATTCAGCATTAAATAAATTACCAGGCATCAATAAATCCTCAAGCAATTAAAACATTTTATGCTATTTCATTGCCTTTGCAGATTCACAAAAACCTGGTAAAATAGATTCTACATTTCATTTTAATAATCATGCACATTTGAGCTGTTTGGAAGGAAAGCACAAGACCCACTGCCGAGTGACATGAGCAAGGGTCAGAAGTATTGCCACTTTCCAAGGATTGTGTCCTTGATTGCATCTACATACTGTGCTGGTACCCAGTATATCCAGTATCGTGAGGCCTCTGTAGGACCTAGCTGTATACCCTGTAAAAACAACACAGAGAACATGACAACATAGTTTGTATACCCTGTAAAAACCAAAAAGATTCTGTAGACAACATAGTTTGTATCATCTTGTTTTTATCAATACTCTTTAAGATTTCCTTCTCTTCTTTAAACTGAAATTAGTTTGCCCCACTGTGTCAAAGTTTTTGTGATTCTTATCTTTAAATATTGATGTCTGGATATCTTCCACTGTGATCCTGGACAAATTTGATCAGAATGTTAACTCTCATGAATATAAATGATTCCAGTAATCTGGTAAACAACCAAATCTTCAAATTAATCTACATGGGAAATCTCTGTAAAATTCTGACAGAGAGATCAATATAGAAAATGGTTCTCTGGGTCATAAATCACATTAAACTTTTCCCTAACCTTTCTGAAGACTCACTTACCAGCATGTGATATTCTTCATGATCTTTTATGGCTTCACTGACTACAGCTTTAATGGAATTCATTGGAATTTTTTCAGTTCTTTCTAAAAATAAATTAGATTTCTTTTTAACTCATATATTCTCAGAATGAAAGAAAATTAAGTGCAGAAAGATATGAGATTTAATTAATCAAGACACAATGACATCAATATGTCCTTTGGATCTACACTAAAGACAGATTACAATGCAGTATGTCCAATGCACTCTGAGAGTATAACATAAGTAAAATTAAGTCCCCTCTTTATATGGACCACTAGTTCAACTACTACACATATGTCCATAGGACATGAAAAAAGTTAAAGAGAAGGGAGGTCAAGGTCACAGGAAAGAGCAAGGTGAAAAGTTTTTGATGCAGTTGAATAGCTCTCATTAATATGTATTGGCATATTATGTTTGATGAAAATATCTTTAATGATTTATGTCAAACTGAGCTAAACACTTATTTAAGAAAAGGAAGGTCAAGGTCAAAAGAAAGGTTGAGGTCAAAATGTTTATGCCCCTCCCGAATATAATTGGAATTTTACTGAAGTTTGATTACAGTAACTTGAATGATGTATTTAAAACCAAGCTAAACACTAATTTAAGGAAAAGTGAAGTCAAGGTCAAAGGAAAGGTGAAGGTCAAAATTTGAGTTAAACAAAAAGTGTGATGGAAAGATAGACTGAAGGACAAAAGTGGACATGACAAACATTATATGCCCTAGCCATATTCATGATGTTATAAACCACAACTGTCGAGACTGAAGCTCTACTGGTTTGTACTTATAGCAAAGGAAGAGAAAAGTACTTAAGCAGTTGGGAATTGAAACTTTTCAACAGCAATAAATAGAATAATGATCCTTGATAAAGTCTCTTTATGTTCTTAGTGTAGTCTACTTGCATGCCACATTACATTATCAGACTAAAACTGTATTTGGAGTAGAATTTTGAGAGTATTTAACAGAAATTTCTATTTTTAGTAACCACAGCAACACCGTTCATCGAAATCAAAAACCGATACACAGAATTATGTACCTTAGTGTAGTCTACTTGTGTGCCAAATTTTATTGAAATCAGACCAAAACTGTAGGAGGAGTAGCATTTTGAAAGAATTTCACAGAAATTTCTATTTCTAGTAACCACAGCAACATCTTTCATCGAAATCAAAAACCATTAAATAGAATTATGTATCTTAGTGTAGTCTACTTGTGTGCAAAGTTATATTGATATCAGACCAAAACTGTAGGAGGAGTAGCATTTTGAAAGAATTTCACAGAAATTTCTATTTTTAAGAAACGGCAACATCGTTCATGGAAATCAAAAACCGATGCACAGAAATATGTATCTTTTTGTAGTCTACTTATGTGTCAAGTTATATTTAAATCAGAAAAAAATTGTAGGAGGAGTAGCATTTTGAAAAATTGTTTACGGACATGACAGCTAACACTATATGCGCATTACTATCGCATATTCATCTCTGACCAGTAGAGCTAAAAATCATAGAGGAAGAACAAAATGCAAACTTGATCTGTAACTCATCAAAAAAGACACAAATGGTAAAAAATATCTGTTCAAAGTATGAAAGGCATACAATCATTTAGAATAACAGAAGTGGGACAAACTGATTGAGAACAGTTGAAAAGATATCGAGGAAACCTATAGTCCCTTCAGTTTCACTGCTGACTAATAAGGCATTTTATTATGTCTTTTTTACATAACATAGGAGAGGGTTATGCTTGTCAAAATATTTGGTGTACACATAAGATGGTCACCTCTGTTAAGAGGACAAAATGTAATGGCTTAATTTACATACAGATTATTTTCCATTGCATTATAAAATTTTATATTGATGGTGGAAGAAAAGTGCTTCAGCAGTAATTATTGGCATTCATCTTAAACATTTTGTAGTTCACATGATGTCCATACCTTTTGTTCCCAGCCATAGCTGGTCGACCTCCAGTTTGAAGGTCAGTCTGACCTTGCCCCCCGACTTGTTGTACATCCCTGATATAGGGGTATGGGGTAATGGTTCCTTTAAATTCCTGATACCAACAGGTACATCGTCTGGTTTACCATACTTATCTAGCACTCTTTTATGTTCCTTCAATTTAAACAGAGTATCACACAGTGAATGTCTCATCAATTTAAAAGAAATAAGATTAATCAAAAGAACAAAACATAGGTAATCAGAGATTACAGAGCTCACCTCAACGAATGTTGTCTTTAAGTAAGGCAAATTAAGTCACACAATTAACCAACAAAAAGTGTACATCCAAAAATGCAAAATTTATGCAATTTTGATACTTTGGAATAGACCTATATATTAAAAACTTAAAACTAGTTCTTCATCATGAAAATGTAATTAAAATCCAGCATCTGAAGCAAGATTGAGAGTTTTCATCCCTCGATGCATCATTTGTGCAACTTTGGTTTATATAAGCCTTATAGTTTCTTGGTGATAGACCTGCACCCATAACTTTTACGAGGTATATTATCTGGAAAATGTATGTCGAATTCAGCATCTGAAGCAAGTCCATTAGTGCACATCCTAAGATGTATCATCCATGCAAGTTTGTTCAACACAGAGCTCAAAGTTACTTGGAAATGACATGTATAAAAATCTAACCTTTTCACTAATCCGGAAAATGTAGGTCAGATTCAGCTTCTGAAGCCAGCCTAGTAGAATGCACCCTTAGATGTACCATCCATGCAAGTTTGGTCATTATAGGGCTCAAAGTTACTAAATGAATCCTGCACCATAAACTTTAACCTGATTACTCGTCCAGAAAATGTAGGTCAGATTCAGCATCCGAAGCAAGTCTGGTAGTTAAGGAAGATGTACCATCCATGCAAGTTTAGTCATTATAGGGTTCATAGTACCTTGGAAATGAAACCTGCACCAAAAATTTTAACCTGTCAACTCAACCGGAAAATGTAGGTCAGATTCAGCATCCGAAGCAAGTCTTGTAATATGCATCCTAAGATGTACCATCTATGCAAGTTTGGTCATTATATGTCTCATAGTAATTTGGAAATGAAACCTTCACCAAAAACTTTAACCTGTTCACTCAACCGGAAAATGTAGGTCAGATTCAGCATCCGAAGCAAGACTGGTAGTATGCATCCTAACATGTACCATCCATGCAAGTTTGGTCATTATAGGGCTCATAGAAACTTGGAAATGAAACATGCACCAAAAACTTTTACCTGTTCACTCAACCGGAAAATGTAGGTCAGATTCAGCATCCAAGCAAGTCTAGTAGAATGCATCCTAAGATGTACCATCCATGCAAGTTTGGTCATTATAGGGCTCATAGTATCTTCGAAATGAAACCTGCACCAAAAACTTTAACCTGTTCACTCAACCAGAAAATGTAGGTCAGATTCAGCATCCGAAGCAAGTCTGGTAGTATGCATCCTAAGATGTACCATCCATGTAAGTTTGGTCAACATAGGGCTTATAGTTACTTGGAAATGAAATCTAAACCAAAAACTGCACCAAAAATGTTAACCTGCACCAAAAACATTAACCTGGTCATTCCTTTGCTTAAATTGCAGCATCTGAAACTTTGACTGGTACAATGAAACACATTAGAAACATCTTCCATGCATGTCTAATCAATATAGGACATAGTACTTAAAAAGAAAACTGCTCCAAAAAACTTAACCTTAACCCGGGACGCCGACGCCGAGGGTATCACATAAGCTCCCCCCAACTTCGTTGAGGTGAGCTAAAAATAAACATTTTCATGAATTCTTTGAAGAAGAGTATGTTAACCTGGTAGTTTCTTGTATATCAATTTGATTGTGGCTATGAAAATGAAGATTTTTTTTATCCAATATACATGTGATCTCATGCAGTACTGATCCCTATTGGTACTGGGACAATTTTCTGATAAGTTTATCTATCAATATGACTACAACCAGTTCTACTGTTTTCAAAAATTTTAGAAACATTTTTCATACATAATTTTTTTTAAACTCTGTAATGAGCTCTACTCTTGGGTTACAACTTTGTATCGTTTAATAGTCAACATTTTTCCTTAATATTCAAGTAATCTACTACCGTAACCACCACCCCCTCCATCTCACCCTAAAGAAGATGAATTCAACAATTCTGAATCTACACTCATTAAGGAGGACTTCTTTTGTCCTTTTTTTTCTGACCAAGTGCTTTTTGGTAAAAATGTTGAAAATGTAAAAAGGCAAACAGTGGACAAAAGAAATAAAACAGACAAAAATTAATAACAAAACTAGGATTAACTAAAACAACAAATCTACAATCACACTAATCATTAAAAACCAAAAGTCCCTGTCGAGACTGAAGCTCTACTGGTTGTACTTATAGCAAAGGAAGAGAAAAGTACTTAAGCAGTTGGGAATTGAAACTTTTCAACAGCAATAAATAGAATAATGATCCTTGATAAAGTCTCTTCATATTCTTAGTGTAGTCTACTTGTGTGCCAAGTTATATTGAAATCAGACTGAAACATTAGGAGGAGTAGCATTTTGAAACAATTTTACAGACATTTCTATTTTTAGTAACCAAGGCAACACCATTCATGGAAATCAAAAACAGATAAATAGAATTATGGATCTTAGTGTAGTCTACTTGTGTGCCATGTTATATTGAAATCAGACCAAAACTGTAGGAGGAGTAGCATTTTGAAAGAATTTCACAGAAATTTCTATTTTAAGCTACCAAGGCAACACCTTTTATCCAAATCAAAAACCGATATACAGAATTATGGATCTTAGTGTAATCTACTTGTGTGCCAATTATATTGAACTTAGACCAAAACTGTAGGAGGAGTAGCATTCAGTAATAATTTCACAGAAATTTCTATTTTTAGTTACCACAGCAACACCGTTTATTGAAATCAAAAAATGATACACAGAATTGTGTATCTTGGTGTAGTCTACTTGTGTGCCAAGTTATATTAAGATCAGACCAAAACTGTAGGAAGAGTAAAATTTTGAAGGAATTTCACAGAAATTTTTATTTTTAGTTACGGCAACACCGTTTATCAAAATCAAAAACCGATATACAGAATTATGTATCTTAGTGTAGTCTACTTGTGTGCCAAGTTATATTGAAATTAAACCAAAACTGTAGGAGGAGTAGCATTTTGAAAAATTGTTTACAGACAGACGGACTGACGCCGGACGCATTACTATTGCATAAGCTCTTCTGGTCTCTGACCAGTAGAGCTAACAAAACTATGTCTCAAAGTAATTTTTAAATATTGAAATTTTTTCCAGTGAAAACCAAATTAACTGAACAAAGTTCTATAACTCTTTTTTGTCTTATCTGAATTGTGAGCTTCATTCATTTTATTGACAGTAACATCTACACTTGATAACTGTGAATCAAGAAACACCTACAGTGTAGAAATGATTTGAATCCAGTATGTACCTTCTGTGTGGAGAGAGGTTCCTTTGTGACGGCCGCGGATTTACCGGACTCTTGGAGTTCTTTGGGGGAGGGTTTACTGACAGAGAGCACGTCATTTAACGTCGATCCTACGACCATTATCTTGGCACCTTTAGTTACTTTTAATTCCTTAAGTGTGGATTCATCTTTTGCAAGACCTGAAATGGAGCAATACTTCAGTAAGAATACTCAACCTTTAAATAAATATCCTTAGAGTATGATAATGCTTGTAAGAATTTTGTTTGCACATCTTTTGATCTTACCTTTATACATAATTTTCTGCATTGCTGATGGCACTCCTATGAAAAGACATAAGTAAATTATTTCCAGTACTCTGGCAAAATAAGCCCATTCATAACTTCAACTTGATTGGAAATTTATGAAAGTTTCTTTGAAGATTACCTGTCAGTGTTTGTATATGAGCCTTTAACTTAGCTATAGTGTCATTGGTGGGAAATGTTACATCATACTTTTGTTTATTGTACACAATTTTAAAGTCTACTGTTTCTACAGGATCCTGATCACCGGGTTTTGTGGAATCTGTTGAAAAATAAAAGTTAATATAGACAAGTATCATCAATTAACTTAATTAGTTAATACAGACGAGTATAATCAATTTATTGACTTTACCAGCAATATTTTATCTTGCAGTTATTATGTCACATCATGTCTTCTCACTGATTAATGAAATTTCTAAATTATACCTACTATCCCTATGGGATAAATATATCAGGATGCACACATTCAAAATATGATACACTGTACAGTGGCTGGAACGTTATTGTTGACAACTTACACGAACGATCACGTTACACGAACGATTCCGCACGATTAATGCACGATTAAACCTGTTACACGAACGATCTTTCACGTTCACGATTCTACACGTTACACGATCTTACAAGATTGTTAACTCAAACGCACGATTCTTCACTCAAAATAGTTCAAAATATTTAGGAATCAATATTTTCAAAACGAAATACGGCTTAATACTTATTTAAGATTTCAAAGAATTATCAATGTTATTTTATAGACTTTGAAGAAAAAAACGGAAAATATTTCCGTAACTAAATATTCTGTAACTATATATTTCTGATATTTCTGTAACTAAATATATGCAAGACTTAATATTTTAGATTAAAAATAATTATTTCTAAGGTAATTCTCCAATCAAAAAACACGGATTTTGTTCGTTCTATTAGACGATGTACATGTATGTGGGTAGTATAATTTGATTGAATTGGATATCATGATATGCAGAACGGGGGATACGATTGAACAAAAATGACAGCATGGAATGACTTAAATCATAAGTACAAATTTTATCCTTATGTTTCCAATGATTCAAGTCTGATAAACTTGCCAATTATTCAACTTTTTTATTTGCAGAAATTTAAGATTAATTAATTACAAATAGGCTCAAGAGATAAACACAGATAATCAAAACTCCCGAAAACCATGCCGTGTCCATGTATAATTGTCGACTAACTAGTTATGTAAGCATTGAGAAATGTTTATTTCTTTGTTATAAAAATCAGATTTTTCAAAAAGGCGTTAAAGATCTAAGTACGGTTTATCACAATATTGATCGCGCTAGCGCTATTTGACGAGAACTTAATATTGTACGACTTACTATATTGCTTGTTTACGGGCGATAATTAGTTCGTTCTGCATTCTATTATGTAAATTGCGTTTTTTCATTTTATTTGGATTTTGATTAATAAATTAAGAAAAACAAACAAGGGAAATGCTTCTTATACAAATAACATTCCGATAAAAACTTACAAAACGAAACTTACACGATTCTAAACGCACGATCTCGCACGATTAAAAACGCAAACGATTGAGTCTGATACACGAACGATCTTACACGTTAAACGAACGATCACTCACGATACACGAACGATTCTACACGATTGGTTTGTCAACAATAACGTTCCAGCCACTGTACGTGTAATCTTGTTGGACATCAGTAATTTTTCTGATTTATTTTCCCTCACTAGAAATATTCCATAGGACATGAATGCCCTGCCCATGGTATATTTACATTAGGTCCATGAGCCACAATGCTCACCTAAGTCAAACATGACTCTGCTGTTCTCTATCAAATGACTTCTTTCCCATATATTCCTATGTTAAACTTTGGTTCCCTATGTAAACCCATTAGGTGTCATGATTGTTTAAACTAAATCTAAACAGTCTGCACTAGGCAATCAGAACATCACTCGGTCTTTCTCGTCAAGAAAAACGACTTGACAGAAAAGGAAAAGTGATGTTCTGATTGCTATATGATGATGCTACGAACATCATATGACTCATCATGGCTTTGCTGTTTTCAATAGGAAGATTACCGGTATTACAGATGGGGCTCAATCCTACTCCCGAGGATCTGATCCGAACTTTGAGCAAAGTTCGGTTCAAATTAGCCCACTGATTATGGAAAGAAGTTGAAAATGTAAAAAGTTTACAGAAAGGAAAAATTGACAGACAGATGCCAGAAAAAATGGGATAAGAAAAGCTCATTAATGCTTCAGCTCAGGTAAGTTAAAAAATGCAAGAGTAATAGTTGAGTCGAGGTCATATGGAATCCCAGAGTTGAAGGTCAGAAAATGACAAAGTCAGTGGAACATTCAGGTCAGAAAATCATGACAGACTTAAATACTAGTTCTCACCATAATGAATCAGTGAGTGAGTTTGGATGAGATTACAATGAACAGTTTCTTCTTAAACTGTGAAAAATGCAAAATAATTAATAGTTAAGTCAAGGTCACAGAGCAAACCGAAACATTTTGACCTAGTTGATTAGCTCTCCCTGTATGAAGTTGATGAAGATAGTTGAAAATCTCCTATAAATGTTCCTCATTGTATGAGTTTTATTAAAAATATCTTGAACATTTTTCTAACTGAGCTAAACATGGAACAAGGAATACAAGTCAAGGTAAGAAAATTATGCAAAACAGTTGAATAGCTCTCAATAATATGTATAACTGTATGAATTTTGGTTTATAAATCTTCTTTAATGCTTTCTTCAAAACTGAGCTAAATGCAGCATAAGGGACAAAAACATATGGGTTTGTCTTCCACTTTTTGAAATGTAAAATCAAAAAAAATCTTAATCTTCTATAAAGAAAAATCATGTTTAAAAAAAGACATCTCACACCTAAATACTTATGCTCTATGAGGGACAAAAGCTGTCCTCTTGGAAAAAATACCCCCACACACTTCAGTGCCCATTTATAAATTCTAACACATTAATTCAAGTAAGGCCCTAAATATGAGATTTATTACACCAAGCAGCCTTTATTTGTGTCAGACACTTTACTGCAAATGATTCTGACATTGCTATCTGGTGAACTGAAAAAAATTAAGTCAGATGGGGAAAAAGTTTTGTGGTCTAGATCACAATTAGCAAAAATCAAAAAAAATATTTAATGTTATAAGCTTTTTTTTTTTTTAAATAAGAGTACTTTTATTTGTCATTTGGCTATAAACAAAAATACACAGGTGTATCATATAATAGTATACACTTATCCACTGGTTGTGAGTGGGATGGCTCTTTTATGAAACCCGCGACAGGGAACTATTCCCCGAGGGCTTGCCCGAGGGGAATAGTCCCTGTCAAGGGTTTGATTAAGAGCTATCCCACTCACAACCAGTGGATAAGCGTTTTTTTTATAGATAGTTTTCGATAGGCCTGAATTTAGCGAGTTACCTCCCGTTGGCCGCCATATTGGAGGTCGACTCGGTGATTTTCCCTCTTTGTCTTACCAAGTTTAAGAAAATATAGCAGAAATATTTGGTGGAAAATCTTTATCAAATAATTTTTTTTAAATAAAGGAGGTTCCAAAAATTTATATACTTCAGAAAAATAATGATTTCTAATTCAAAATAGCAAATATAAAAATTTTAAATTGGTTGAACAATGAAGGAATATGAGCATTTGGACCTCCAGAATGGCGGCCAACGGGAAGTAACTCTTGGTCAATTGAAAACTATCTATACTGATGTATAATATAATTTCTATGGTTTGAAATTTTTGGGAGTAAGATAATACTGGAAGAATAATCTGAAATTCTGATGACGTCACAATGCTACTGAAATCATTATGACAATTATCATCAGTCAATAGATTTATCGCTGGAAATCAAAATTGGAGTCAAAAATTGCATGAAAATTTTCTGAGGGTGGATAGCAAAAACTATACCCTGGGGTATAGCTTTGCTATGCCTGAACTATAAAACATATCTATTTTACCTTCTGAACTTTATATAGGAAACATTCTAACAGAAGTATAATAATGAATAATGTCACCATTAGAATCAGGAATTATAAATTTGGTATTTTCCCCTCAAGTCACCTGAATTTGTACTACTGTGGTTTTCCTCAATGTTTGAATTTGTTTCCTTGGTTTCGTCTCCCCCAGGATCTGATGGCTGTTTTGAGTCTTGTTTGACTTCCTCAGAATTGGATTTTTCCTCTGTTTTGATCACTTCTGAAAAGTTATTTCAGATAACTTTCATTGAAATCCACACAAAATTTAAACTATGCACTAAAAAAATTACCGAAACAAGCATCAATTAAAGAAACCACAATGATTTAGACCTAACAGACTTGACATAGAGATCCCTTAAAACTCTTCAAGGTCTCATTCGTAAATACACATATAGTGATGTACTCCCGTTTTGTGTCCCAACAATTTCAGTCAAATTACGTCACATGTATATATAGCTCTCAATGCATGATACTGGATTTTTAACATCATTACAGAAAATTTCTGATTGAAAAATATTACTGAGAAAAAATGATATCGTATAAAACGCTACTGGTATTAAAACCTATCTTATTCGTCTGTTTCTGTTGGTGAGAGATGGTGATTACCTGTTTCCATTTTTCGTTTCTCGGACATTATCTATCTTCGCGTTAGAAGAGTTCTAAATCAGATTTCGAACCCGATGTAAATAATCTCTCTCTCTCTCTCTCTCTCTCTCTCTCTCTCTCTCTCTCTCTCTCTCTCTCTCTCTCTCTCTCTCTCTCCATTTATCTATCTAAATCTCTTAATTTAATTCAAAGCATTTGCTGATTTTATTTTTTGATTATTAATAATTAAATTATTATTCTATGGGTTAATTTTTTTAACCGAAACAAGTACATGAACCTGTGGTCTGAGCCTCTTCCTGAATACTATCCTTGTTAATTTGGTACACGAGGCAGATAAATGCTTTTAATTCATAATATAAGAAATCTAACATAATCTTTCAGGAATTGTGATTCAGTCATATTAGGCACCGTTTTGGTATTTACTACCAAACAAGAGACCCATGGGGCACATCGCTCACCTTATTAACTTTAACCATTCTGTCATTTAAAAGATCCCCCCCTTGCAATACCGATCTTGACCTTGACAATCCTAAAGGGTCATGATTCAAACAATTTAGAAACTATACTGCCCAAGGATGCTTCCACGTAAGTTTCAGCTTATTAAGTCCATTTGTTCTCGAGAAGAAGATTTTTAAAGTTGTTTTCCCATATACTTCAATGTACATGTAAAACGTGGATTCCCTATTGTGGCCCCGCCCTACCCCTAGCGGTCATGATTTGAACATTAGAATCTACACTACCCAAGGATGCTTCCACATAAGTTTCAGCTTTTTTAATCTACTTGTTCTTGAGAAAAAGATTTTTATTATTGTTTTCCAATATACTTTAATGTTAAACTTAGATTCCCTATTGTGGCCCGCCCTACCCTTGGGGGTAATGATTTGAACAATTTAGAATATACACTACCTCAGGATGCTTCCACATAAGGTTTAGCTTTTCTGGCCCAGTGGTTCTTGAGAAGAAGATTTTTAAATTTTTTACCTAAATATTTCTATGTAAAACTTGGATTCCTTATTGTGGCCCCGCCCTAAAACCTGGGGGTCATGATTTGAACAATTTAGAATCTACACTACACCAGGATGCTTTCACATATAACTTTCAGCTTTTTCGGCCCAGTGGTTCTTGAGGAGAAGATTTGTAAAAAAAAAAAAAAAAAAAATTCCTATAATATATTTCAGTGTAAAAATTGGATTCCCTATTGTGTCCCCGCCCTACCCCCCGGGGTCATGATTTGAACAATTAAGAATCTACACTACATCAGGATGCTTCCACATAAGTTTCAGCTTTTTTGACCCGGTGGTTCTTGAGAAGAAGATTTTTTAATGACCTACCCTATTTTTGTTTTTTCTTGATTATCTCCCCTTATAAAGGGACTTGGCCCTGTATTTTAAGAATTTAAATTCCCCTTTACCCAAGGATGCTTTATACTAAGTTTGGTGAAAACTGGCCCATTGGTTCCTGAGAAGAAGTCGAAATGTGAAAAGTTTACAGACGGACAGACAGACTACAGGCAAAATGTGATCAGAAGAGCTCACTTGAGCTTTCAGCTCAGGTGAGCTAAAAATGATATCACCTTTTTGAATATGTGACATCACATATACTCAATTGGTGATATCACCTATTCGGATTTTGATTTGTTGATATCACCTATTCGAATAAGTGATATCACTTATTTAATACTAGTAGGTGATATCATCTATATTTGATATGAATTGGTGATATCACTTATTTGAAAGTGTGATATCATTTTTTTCGAAAAGGTGATACCACTTATTCAAATCTGTGATATTAATTTCTAGCAGGTGATATCATTTAATCTAATAGGCGTTATCACCTTATCGTGTTTTATAGAGAAACTCCGCCTTAACATCAAAAGAGTGAAAAGTATGCCACTCTGTTGTACCCCAGCTGGGTAAAATTTACAAAATTTATATACTTTAAAAGAATCCATAGTATAAGTTATTATAAAGTCTTAGATACAGGTGAAAACTGGGCAGTTCAAATTTTCTTTGTTCCACTGCGAAAATCTAGATAGTCTACGGAGCATTCAATATTTGTTGTTGTAAGAAACACAAATAGGTGTCCGACACGATATCACCTATTCAGATTGAATCACCGATTCAAATTGAATAGGTGATATCACCAATTCGACAAGGAGAAATTACTTATTCGAATAGGTGATATCCATATTCAGCATGAATAGGTGATATTACTTATTCGAATAGGTGATATCACCTATTCTTTTCCAATAGGTGATATCAACTTTTCGAAAAGGTGATATCACATATTCGAATAAGTGATATCACCTTTTTGAATAGGTGATACCACCTATTCAATTTGGGTGAGGGATATCACTTATTCAAATAGGTGATATCACCTATTCGAATAGGTGATAACACTTTTTGCCAGTAAATACTACAGTACCAAAACGACGCCTCATACAGTCATGACTACGGGTTTCTCAATCAATCACACTTTAGTTTCAGACATTTTAGCCGGGTACTGTGATTGTAAAGAATGATTCGTTAACAGCTGAAAGGCATTAGATATACGGGAATTTTAACTTTATTTTATTCATTACCCTAATTATTTAAATTAATCAATATTTCATTATTCAGATTAAATGGCCAATAATTTAGCATAAAGTGTATGCATTGCTGATTTATCATTATACGTTTGGATATTGATACGTTAATGCATCAGTCATCTTTCTTACATCTGACTGAGGTTTAAACTTTTTTAAATAAAGGGCTTGAGAAATGCCATTTTTAGAATTTTTACCAGAGATAGTATTATGACTCCAATACATGTTTAAGAATATCTATAAATAATACCACTCAATATGTACATGTAACTTGGATAACTTGACTTCTAAAACAAAGCAAATATTTTTTGAAAAACACTGATGCCTCCATACAATAGTTTTTTCACAGTAAGTAAAAGGTCAAGGTCACAGGGTCAAATATATTAGTACCACAGGAAAAATATTGTTACAATGGATACACAAATGCAGCACTTAAGAAAGCTATTGCACCATCATTTAAACATTATCGCCAAGTTTATAGCCAAGTTTTACGAAAGTACATATAACTCAAAGGTCAGGGGGTCGAAATAAAATAAAAGAGGTACCCAGAGGACGATTTTCTTCCAAGAAATACACATTTGAGCACGTGTCATGTTACTAATCTCTCAAAAGTTAGGCCAAGGTTAAAGATTGCAAATCAAGGTAACGATTCAAAAATATTGGTACCCAAAGAAAGGTCATGACATAAATACTAGTACATGTATCATACCACGAGGGGAGTGACTGTGAAAAAAGAGAACGCACTAGCATCAACAGTTCAAATTTTGTGACCAAAGTTTAAGTTTTTCAAAAGGTCAACTTCCGAGATCCAGATAAAATCAGCGGTCTTATTACAAGTAAGACACGTGCGAAAAGCATCGGCACTAACCATGCAAAAGATATGGCCAAGGTTAAAAATTGGTAATTTTCTGCAAAAGTAGTTCAAACGGTAATGCCAAGAAGTCAAATATGTTGTTCGATTACGGAAACATAAAAATGTTAGTATCATAATTATACTCATTTACATACGAAACTACAACAGAAAACACGCGTTTTATATAGATAGTTCATTCAAGTTCCATTTTAATCCAGTATTCACATTTTTAGGAGTGCCAGAAAAAGAGCTAACATGGATAAATAAACAGCGTCACTCTTATAATTCCTTATGGAACATTATAATACATTTCAAAGGTTACTAAGCTGTAGCGTCCCACTTTTGGTTTGACCTTTAATCAAAATTTAAAGAAGGTCCACCTATATCGTAGTAAGTAAATTAAGTCATTGTTCCCCAAGCTGTTAAATTTTTCGTAAAAAATATTTGTGTAAAGCATTAAACTGCAACAATAGATGACATGAGAACACGAGCTTTGGTCTTCTCACACCTCAGACTGGTCAAGAAATGAATTATGACGTGAAAGATTTTGAATCAAAAGTTGTTTTAAAGGTTTATTTTTCGAAGATTTTAAAGGCTGCTTCAAATGTTACATTTTAAAATTTATAAAATGCACGCACCTCGCATGTTAAATCGACAGTAACATGACTCTAGACTATCCAAACTGTTGCGTTGACCATGATAGCTAAAAATTGTTATTTTCACGTTATAATCTAAGTTTTAACATTGTGCTTGATCAGTTGGTCAGGTTTTTCAAAATATAATTTATCAACATTAATTTTTCTTTTAATCTTCTTGGATTATATAATGAAAAGAACATCGTGAAAGCTTTTAGACTCATTACTCCTACGGATTTTAACACTAAGTCACATAAAATAGTTATTAACAATTTTAAAACTCATGTACAATTCTTTTAGTTCTTGAATTGCCTCATTTTAACATTGCGTTTTATATTCAAATAAATACGTATATCTAAAAATTTCAATGGTCTACCATTTAATATGTGTCAAACGATAAAATTCTTCATGGCATTTCATTTAAATTAAAACACGACAAGTAATGTAAACCCATAATAGGATTTCTTTCTTATTGTGTACAGCACAGGATATTTACATGGTCTGAATTACATTTTAAATTGTTCTAATTCGATACCAACATAATATTGTTTTAGGCTGTAAGCCCATCATTTCAACAAAGGAGACAAATTATGTATTGATTTTGGGTATCCGTCGTCAAGAAAATTTAAATTTATTTCATATGAAATTTAGTGACGGCGAAATGTTTTGGATCACACTTTACTTTCATCCACTTTACAAATGAAGACAGCAGTATCTGTGGAAATTCAAATTTAATTTAAAAATTATGTAGACTCTATTATGAATTTCATGCTTGAACTTTTTTCCATCCTGTAAATTATTTATAGATTCATCTAAAGGTGAAATTATCAAAATTGTTGATCCCAATCAAGGTCTAATTGTTATCACAATCCATGTAATGTCCCACAAGTGGGGATATTAAGCTATGCTAAAACACCCCCTATCAACATCTTAAATCTTGGCAAAACTAACTATTGCATATTTAATTATAAATCAAAAATTATAATGTTACCTACTTATGTCGTATATGAACCCCACTGTGGGGCATGGAGACCGGTACTCCAGATGAGACCATATAAACTGAGGTCCCGTGTCGTACAGGTGCTGGCACGAAAAAGATTCCTCCCTGCTCAATGGCCGAGCATTAAACAAAATTTGCAGCTCTCCACCGGCAAGTGATAGCGTCTCCATGTGTGAAAAATTCTCGGGAGGGACGTTAAACAACATACAATCGACCAATTAATCTTATATAAGTTTTAAAGTTTATTTATGAAATTTAAAAAAGATATATGTTTCACCATATCTAACAAGGAATCATTTTTCGGCAGAATATTGAGAACAGAAAAAATTAAAACGCATTGCCGACAAACATCCCCATGGTTATTTTCTTCAGGACAAAAATTTTGCAGCATTAATAGATATGCAGACACGTAAAGGTTATATGCCTGTTAATCATCCTATGAACCATTTTGAACAACATATGAAAAAGGCTAAGTGTCTCATTTTTACATACTGTACTACTTTTGGACGTTGAAGATAAATAAGTGGAGGGGACTCTGTGTAGAGATTGATTTAAATCAGGGTGATGCGGAATACAAACACAAAAGTGAAATATCAATAAATTGTTTATTCATACGACAATAAAACTAGTCATAGTTTTTACTAAGGTACTTTTATATAAGTTATTTCAAAAATCTGAAAGGTCATAGAATAAAACGGCGAGAAGTTATTAAACTGAATAGCTGTACAAATCCATGCTGTCTACAACCTCCCAGATGTTAAGACACACAACAAAATACACCGCCTCAGACCAGTTCCCCTGATTTTCCAACTCTTACCGCTCCATTGGCGCAGTTGCCGATTGCATTAAACATCAGACCTATATACAAGTGTATATATACCTACCCTGAATCATGACTAGAAGATTAAGAGATTGGGTATATATATCGATCACCGAGGACTGTTCTGGCAATAGACGCTGTGCGTTCACACGGGCACCTGCTGGACGGGAGTCGCAATCATGAAGACCGTTACATCACTGATCCTCCTCGGTAAGGGGATATCATTTTGATATTATTTATTTTTTAAATAAAAAATTAGGAAATGTGAACTCATTTACCAGTTTCTCGTGTTATTGTGTCGAAATGCAATCACTAATATATGATATTGAACATTTGATATTTTGCTTTTTGGAAATATAAAAATTGGATCAAGTTTAGGAAAATTTCTTATTCTTTAGAATAACAATCATTAATTATTAACAATGTGATTTTTTTCTTCTCTCTCTCTAGTTTGCTGTTGGTCTATGGGTAAGTAAGTCAAAGAAATTTTGTTCCGATTGTATTGATTTAAATAAGAGGCTACGAAAGTAACTCTATTACGAGATTTTCGTATGGTACTTATTTTCCTGCTTCTCATTCAGCAATGGTCCATGGACAAAAGGGGCCCACATTACCGGGCATGACCAAGCCGCCATCAACTGGAAAGACCGGGTCTTCTGGGTTCGTAGGAGGCTTTACCCGTCCATCCGGGTCCGTAGGAGGCTTTACCATGCCAGGAATGACCCGACCTTCTGGGTCCGTAGGAGGGTTTACCCGTCCTTCTGGGTCCATAGGAGGTTTTACCCGTCCTTCTGGGTCCGTAGGAGGCTTTACTCGTCCTTCCATGCCAGGAATGACCCGTCCTTCTGGGTCCGTAGGAGGGTTTACCCGTCCTTCTGGGTCCATAGGAGGTTTTACCCGTCCTTCTGGGTCTGTAGGAGGCTTTACTCGTCCTTCCATGCCAGGAATGACCCGTCCTTCTGGGTCCATAGGAGGCTTTACTCGTCCTTCTGGGTCCGTAGGAGGTTTTACCCGTCCTTCTGGGTCCGTAGGAGGCTTTACTCGTCCTTCTGGGTCCGTAGGAGGTTTTACCCGTCCTTCTATGCCAGGAGGAATGACTCTTCCCTCCATGGGCACTGGAATTGGCGGGTTTACCCTTCCACCAAAACCCAAAATAGACTTCCGTTGTCCGAAAGAATGTCCAGTTTGTCAAACATTGAAGAATCCCCTGTCAAAGCCCTGTACAGCTGTAGACGAGTTTGGGGACATTAAAGCAGATTTTGAAAATAAATTGAACAGCAAACGGAAGGATATTCTCCAAGAAATCAAGGATTTAGGCAGTGAGTACATTCTTGTGATTTTTTTTATGTTTCATCTCGTTCTGTAACAAATCTGGATAATGATATAGTTTATTTCATATCAAGGGCGTAAAATCAGTATAAACATTAAATAATCTGTTTCTGTTATCCTTCGAAACAGCATTCAAAGCTAACATGGATTCGCGTACGTGCAATGGAATGATTAAACATATTGACATATATGGCAAGATGGACAGAAATACCAGGGATAAACTGAAGAATTTCATGCAAGACCCATCCTCTGTCAGCTCTGACGACATGAAGAAGTTCCCCAAAGAAGTCTTCTCCTCCCTCAACGTAAGTCATCCAGCATATACTCCGTTATCGGATCATCTTTCCTGATGCTGAACTTAAAACTAAAGTTCAGCTGCAAACTGAAAAGTGTTAAGTTTATATATTTGTCAAACTTATATATACATTTGTTGCAATTTTCCCCCCTACCAGGACAAGAATGGCACTTTCGTGTTCCAAAACATGGACGCCAGGCAAAAAGTGGAGCTTTGTAAGGATGTCAGGTATATGGACTGCATGACCAGATCGGAGATTACCAAAAAGATCAACTGCGCACGCGCATTAGTTGTGAGTATTACGAAAAGTGAGAACTATAAACACAAAAGAGTTTTGCCTCCCAAAAAAGTGAAATCTAAGGAAACTACTAAAAATGTAAAATATTCATTAAAAGTTTAGAAAGTCAGATACATGAAATTATAATTAAATAAATGTTTTTTGCTTTTTTGACAGGATGGTGGGAAATCCATTAGCAAACAAGACGCCAAGAGCATGATGGACGTTAGAAGTTGTTCAAATTGGGACAGGGAAAAGTGGAACCTTACTCTCCAAAACTTTCCGGAAATTCTCAAAGCCGATTGTCTTAAAGCTGCTCCTACAGACCTTCTAATGGACAAGTAAGTGTTGGCAAGACGCCACGTCCAGGAGGTCAATTTTAATTCGAATTTCCAACAATGTATTTATGTATCTTTTATATTCCGTTTAAAGTCCACCTGAATATACAAAAAAACTGAATAATAGCAATGTAATTGTTTGATCTTTAAAAAAGTGCATGAAGTGACCAGGTATTAAACACTAACTCGCAGACTGCACGATTTTCCAATACAACTGTTAAAGGTCAAGTTTTAGGTTCAGAAACTGGTTCGAGTAAAATTGGATAATATCCAGCTTTTATTGATTATATATGCTACTAATTAAGTGGGGTTTTATCTTACTACCAGTTCATAAACAGAAACAGTATAATAGTTTAATTGTATTAATATCATATAACGAGGGAAAAATAGATGGTGTCATTTGTATTAACTGTTAAATAGAGAAAAAGTGTTACATCAACATGTATGACACTACGGATAGTATTTGACTGAGAACTTCACCAGATTCAAATTATAATACCATATTTGTCTTACAAATGCCTCAATGCTTTGAACTGTGTATTTTATCGAAAAGGTACAAAATCTGCAATTACATGAATTTGTTATTATTATTAACATTATCATGGATTGTGATAGCAATTAGACCTTTAACATTATTATTATCATTATTAAAGGATCTTGTTTTCTTACGTAGAAATAGATCACTAATTTCATAATCAGATAATTCAGTTATAAGAGACAAAAAATACCGAGTCTGTTCTGACATGAAAACTTGTATTTGTTGAAGTTACTTGTTCTTATCACTTCCGTTTTGCTCTTAAAAAAAGAAAAGAGAAAAATAAAATAAAATCTTAAAGAAATAGAGCCAACAGAGAATATATGTCCTACAAATATTGACCTTTATTCAATTGTACTCGGCGGAAATTCAGTTATGTCTAAAGAAAAAAGGCGAAGATTTTTTTTCTGCTTATAATATAAATACTGAATAGCTTTTCATTAAAATGGCAAACAATTAGCAATATCACATGGAAATTTAAGGCTTTTGAAATCCATAAACCAGAAGTCTCTGTCGAGACTGAAGCTCTACTGGTTTGAACTTATAGCAAAGGAAAAGAAAAGTACTTAAGCAGCTGGGATTTGAAATTTTACAACAGCAATAAATAGAATAATGATCGTTGATAAAGTCTCTTTATGTTCTTAGTGTAGTCTACTTGTGTGCCAAGTTATATTGAAATCAGACCAAAACTGTAGGAGGAGTAGCATTTTGAAACAATTTCACTGAAATTTTTATTTTTAGTAACCACGGCAACACCGTTCATCAAAATCAAAAACCGATATACAGAATTACGTATCTTAGTGTATTCTACTTGTGTGCCAAGTTATACTGAAATCAGACCAAAACTGTAGGAGGAGTAGCATTTTGAAAGAATTTCACACAAATTTCTATTTTTAGTAACCTCGGCAACACCGTTCATCGAAATCAAAAACCAATACACAGAATTATGTATCTTAGTGTATTCTACTTGTGTGCCAAGTTATACTGAAATCAGACCAAAACTGTAGGAGGAGTAGCATTTTGAAAGAATTTCACAGAAATTTCTATTTTTAGTAACCACGGCAACACCGTTCATCAAAATCAAAAACCGATATACAGAATTACGTATCTTAGTGTATTCTACTTGTGTGCCAAGTTATACTGAAATCAGACCAAAACTGTAGGAGGAGTAGCATTTTGAAAGAATTTCACACAAATTTCTATTTTTAGTAACCTCGGCAACACCGTTCATCGAAATCAAAAACCAATACACAGAATTATGTATCTTAGTGTATTCTACTTGTGTGCCAAGTTATACTGAAATCAGACCAAAACTGTAGGAGGAGTAGCATTTTGAAACAATTTTACAGATATTTCTATTTTTAGTAACCACGGCAACACCGTTCATCAAAATCAAAAACCGATATACAGAATTACGTATCTTAGTGTATTCTACTTGTGTGCCAAGTTATACTGAAATCAGACCAAAACTGTAGGAGGAGTAGCATTTTGAAAGAATTTCACACAAATTTCTATTTTTAGTAACCTCGGCAACACCGTTCATCGAAATCAAAAACCAATACACAGAATTATGTATCTTAGTGTATTCTACTTGTGTGCCAAGTTATACTGAAATCAGACCAAAACTGTAGGAGGAGTAGCATTTTGAAAGAATTTCACAGAAATTTCTATTTTTAGTAACCACGGCAACACCGTTCATCAAAATCAAAAACCGATACACAGAATTATGTATCTTAGTGTAGTCTACTTGTGTGCCAAGTTATACTGAAATCAGACCAAAACTGTAGAAGGAGTAGCATTTTGAAAGAATTTCACAGAAATTTCTATTTTTAGTAACCATTCATCGAAATCAAAAACCGATACACAGAATTATGTATCTTAGTGTAGTCTACTTGTGTGCCAAGTTATATTGAAATTAGACCAAAACTGTAGGAGGAGTAGCATTTTGAAAAATTGTTTACAGACAGACGGACAGACAGACGGACGGACGCCGGACGCATTACTATCGCATAAGCTCTTCTGGTCTCTGACCAGTAGAGCTAAAAATGGGGGAAAAAATATTTTTTCACTATGTCTCATCCTCTGGCTTTATTTGGACTTTATATAAACAAAATGAATAAAAATACTTTCTACTTTTGAATGTTTTAGAATACATCCGGTCGTCAGAATTTTCAGAAATTGTTTTAATAAGTAACTGTTGTTTTCCTATGTTACCATTTTAAAAAGTGCCAAATAGCTATCCAATGCATGAATTACAAGGTGGTCTTTTTCATCAAATTCCCATTGATTTTCGATAAATTCCGGCAAGGCATATTACCTTTATGTTACCAGAACAATGAATATCACATCCTACTATTAATATTTACAAACCATTAGACAAAATATTGAAACAAGTCTGTACCACAAATGAAAAACAATGTTTCCATCACTTCGATAAAACTTTTGTAACAAACATCTCTATTACAAATAGTCCGTTTCTATAGACTCTAATTTCAAAGAACAAAGACCTCCTAAATATATACAATTGATATTTGATGATTTCATGTTCAATCAATTCTTTTTATGGCTTCACGGTGTTATTAATCATCCATGAAGGAGACAATAATACAATCAGGCCACCAAATAAACCGGAAGTGCCGAATTCTACACGTCTCTGACTTTCATGGGGCCGTTTTTTTTTTTACAGATACTCAGTCATACTATTCTAAACGTAGAAGAATTTAGCTAAATTATAGTCAAGTAAAAGGAATATATAAAAATTATTCGATTCATGCAAATGCACAAGTTCACAAAGTGAAAAAAAGTATAAATATCATCTCAATCACTTGATATCGTTGTCCTTTTGTCAGAAACAGCGGAAGTCAAACTGAAATTTAAGGACACATGCTACCAACAGAAAAACTTAGCTGCTATATTAATAAATAAAACACCAGTCTCGAGATGTTCATTATGCATGTTTTTCAACAAGTAAATGAGAGTGCTTCAATAATTCCTTTTTAAGCATGGATGTGATGAGCGGGAAATGTAATGACTTCAGTAAGCGGGACATTCAGGTCTTCGCCAATATAACTAGTGAAAAAATCAAGGAGAAGAAAAACAGAGGTCAAATGCAACAGAAAGAAAAGAATGACTGGGTCAACCTTCTCTCCAAATGTGGCGCGGATCCATCATTTTTCAAAGATGTTTTAGATCCTAAAGAGGTAGGTTTATATTTGTTAAGTAAGCACTGTGCAAAACGGGAAAGAAATCATGAGTATATACTTTATATAGCATTACCTCGTCTATCCAAAAAGCTATGAATGTTTGCCATGCAATTATTTTTGCAGCATTCTCTTCTTCTTGTATTTTATGGATATACATGTACAAAAGGCAATCTTTAAAACGTATTAACGACCAATGAGGTTTTATTTGATAGTGATATACTGCATAGGGAATTTGGTATTGCAATTTTTTAATTTTCACAGTGATGCTTCAAATAAGACTTTAAGGTTTTGTACACTTTTATAATTGAACATAAAACCATAGCTTTAACAGATTTTTACCTAGTACTGTTACTATAGAAACTATAGCTATATTCACAGCTGCAAATCTATTATAATGAGGGTCAGTTTGTAAGTTTGAAATACAAGAATCGTAATATGATTTTCAGACATTGAGAACTGCTGATTTGAGCAAAGCATCAAGGGCAGAAAAAATCAAGTTTGTAGAAGATGCTTTGAAAACCGTGAGACCCTCTGAATTCTCCAAGGACGAAATTGCAAAGTTAGTATCAAATCTTGAATAATAAAATAAATTGTTGACTTCTTAAGCTTAGATATTACAGACTTGTCTAATTCTGTCTACAGTGCTGTTGGAGCTCTGGCTAATGACCGAAAGGTACTCCGACAAATGAACGCCTCGGCAATCGAGGGAGCGGCCTGTGACGTATGCAGTAAGGCCGACGAAATTGACAAATCCGACGTAAGTCAAACGATCCAATATGGATGATTTCAATTCAAATCCGATTTTTGAGTTGAATAATTCAGAATAAGTCAAACAAGTTTGATGTAATTTATACAACAGATTAAACCATACAGATATGTTGATCTTAGTGTCTTAATGTATTAAAAAAAAATGTAATAAATTTGACGTCAAACAAATTATGTTAGAGGGACAAGTCAGACCTTAAAGAGATAGCAAGAGAAAAAAAATTGAGTTGCTTGGAATTAAAAGAACAATAAGATGACGGCAAAATGTTTCAGAACCTGTTTTCATAACACTTAAGATCAGCATGAATATTACTACATTATAGAACGTTCTCATATACATACAATTACTACATGTAGTATACATACTCGTATATAATCAATATGACCCCATGTCTTTGTAGTTAAGGAAGTTTTCTGAGGTTGTGATGGAACAGCCATCTTTCAGAGATCCCTCTGCCTTTGACCAGTCCACTATCGCCTGTATGGGATGCATGATGCCTTACATGAAGAAAAGCTCTTTTGATAACATCCCTGAATCTGCTTTGCGGTCTGCCCTTACTTCCGGCAATGTGAAGGAAATGAAGATGACTTCCAAAAAAATGGTCCGTGGAGCCTTCAAAACAGCAAAGTTTTAATCATAAATACATCTGAATAAAATATATTTAATTGATATAAAAAATCGTATTTTTCAGGGAAAGAAAGTTCTGGAAAATGCCTTGACAGCTTTTAACAAACCAAACGTAAGCTCACATTTTTGGATACTAACATTACAAAGCTATTCAAACACACCTTTTTAAAAAAAAAATACCACCAGTAACTCTTAGAAAAAATGTACGTCTTCTCTCCAATTTAAAGGTGAAGATAAAACATGTCACATACAATATAAGGTTCGGATTAGGCATAAATAACCGCATGGACATCTTTTCTGTAATTTAGGGCAGATTCTCTGACGCTGATTTGAAAAAGATGAAGGGAGCCCTAGGATGTTTTGAACCAGCTGACATTGACAAGATTCCGGACGCCTCCTTCACAGCTGATGTTCTGACCGACTTTGAGTCAGCCTTCTCCGCAGACGACAGGCCCAAAAAGTCCCTCAAAATGAAACTTGTCGACAAAGTAAGTCCTAGCCTTAACTTTAATTTGTAAACTTTATTATTGAGGTGTACAGTATGTGAAAAGGAAAATCTGAAATTTTAAAATTCTCTTAAAATTCATTTTCATGACTTCATATCAATATTTTATTAATGCTATCCAGGTCAAAAAGCAGTCTGGTGGAATAGCTAAGTTGGTTGCCAATGGTTTGGGTAAAGAATTGTCAACTGCCGATTTGGAAGACGCCCCCATCTCAAGCTTCCCAGATCTTACTGGGGATAACGGCGAGAGTACAATCAAGTGCAACAAGAAACAGGTAAGATTTGAAAGGGCCTCATCCTATAATAAAGACATCTAATCCTACCAAAACGATCTCGAATTACGTTTTTTTACGATTATCAAATACTATTCACACCGTGTACATACTGAATTCACGACGTATAAAAATTGTTGAAGCATAACAAAATAAAGATATCGAGATTAATGAAATCAGAGTTGTTTCTATAATGAAAAGAAAATGTTAGATTCTTCTGATATCTCATATATTCTTTTGAGTTTGTGATTAATTATTTATCAAGGCTTTCTAGATGCGGTACATTTAGCTTAATAGAATCCACTATTAAAAATTCTCTCAGGTCTTTGGAAACTCCATTGTGACTTGTTTCCGAATGTTTTCAAAAGAGTTTCTTAAATGATTAAAAATGTCAATTTACTAAGGTTTTCTGTTTGGTTTTTATATATATTCATTAGAATTTCAAAATGACGCCCCAAAATTAACCTTGAGTCTGTAGATCAATAGACATGAAACTTTTAAAGTTCAGACTCTGCAAATCAAATGAGGTCTGGAAAGTCACGTGTTGTTATCGTAGATTGAATGAACCAATGTTCATTGCAGCTCACAAGGAAAAGGTTGTTTAAAAGGAATGTGATAAATAATAATGAATATTATCATAGAGAGCATATCTTCCAACCGTTCTTTTTTATCTAGACGAACCGTGTTTCTCCATTTAGATTAACAATTAACATACCATACTACTTAAAAGTCTTTTTTTAAAAAGACTATTCATGTTTGAGACTATGGGGCTGTTGATCTGTCCTAATGGAATAAAACCTCCAATATTCACATCAATATCTTTTAGATTATTCAATGGTACTACAGATCTAATGAATTCTATCAACAAATATTCCCCAGAATTAATGATTACAATAGCATTCATTCAACTTCAAGGGTGGACATAACGGTTAGCCTGTCGTTTGTAACATCTACATTTCGTCGTGTGACTTTTGACACTTGAAAATGAAATACAACCGCTCTCTCTACCCCTTACAAAAGTCATAACTGCACATGGTCTCGTTTGGAAATAATATGGTCGGCATGGATGCGCTGAACATTTTGTGGAATCTTTGCGTAACGTCATTTGTACAGGGTAATAGACATACCTCTTGTAGTTCTTAGGAAGAATCCAAAAGTCAAGTCTTGCTGTCAGAACGTCACCTTTCTTATATGGATTATTAGTTAGATTGACTGATTGATTGTTTGTTGCTTTAAGTCCCATTCAAGTTCTTTTCACTTACATGGACAGTGATGGAGACGTCACCACACGGCACACGCCGTCAAAGGGCATCAAACTGATTACGACCGCTTATTTATTAAATTGACAAGTGGAAGAATTACAACGAGCAGCAGTTTCTTCTTACCTTACACTGATCGAACGTAATAAACCAAGTCAAACCAAGTAGCAAATCGTCAAGCATCGTCTCAAGCCACGGTCCGGAGTCCGCATATAGCTCTCTTCTACATGGGAGAGGATCGTACATTTTGGCCGTGGTTTGCGAAGATGATCGTCCAGATACTTCAACTAAATTGGGATGAACTTGTTTGTATTTGAAGCATCATTAATTTCCTAAGCAATTCTGAACTGTTTTGTTAAAATTATTAGACGTAAGAGACGCTTATGTTCGAACACGTGCGAGACTCAACTTTCCTGTACCCCTATTGGTCTTTGATAACGTGATTTGAAAGAATTGTCAATTATAGATCTAGTTATAAGTATTATTTAGAAACCACAGGGCGGGGCTTGAGGCGAGAGCGATAGCTCGAGCCGGGCCCCGCCCTGTATCTCTGATACAGCAGAAACGAGTATTCTAAATGACTTGTGACATGACCTTTCTAAGGACCTCACTAATTTACATGCGTATTTGGGTGTATACCTCCCAACCAATCAGATAATTTTGCAGAAAGTTGATTTAGTATCCCATTTTAAGCATTCTCAACTGAAATGCCGAGCGAGATGGACTCAGGTCTCATTTTAAAATTATTTAAGAGATGCATAAATTAATTTGTTTTCCAAAAATTTTAATTAGATTTGATTGCGCAGGGTTTTTTTTCTCTATGCAGCTCTTGCTGATCTTTTGATGACATTTTTTTTTTCATTTTAAGCTACGATTTAATGCAAAACATTTTGATATATAAGAATCATGTGGGAATATTTTTGAAACAAAAATGCTTCGGGAGATCGTAGATTCTGAGAGAAATGTCCGACAATGTCCCCCACCGGTCGTCATACACAAAATTTAAATAAGCAGATGAAAGGAAAGGGGGTGGGGGTATTTTACTTCACGTTTTCATTAAAATGTAGAGTAACCAAACGGGGATACAACACTCACTGGTGCCCCATCCCACCTTTGAGTTTTTTTTCTTTTTCGCTTTCTTAATTTTTTTTTCTAAACTTGTATACATACGGTTTTTAATTCATCAACAAGTAACGAAATGACGCACATAGGTGTTGGTTGATTATAAATCTACCCCCACGCAGGCACGTAGTATCAGGGGGGGGCATTACCTTTACTTACTGAAAGGAAGGTCCTAGTGTTATAAAGAAAATTTACCCCCAAAAAGTTTGAATTGAAAGATAGTTGGTCTTGTTAAAAATAGGATTTTCGACTTTGGGCAACTTTTAATATTTCGTTTTTTTTTTTTTTTGCTTGTCAACTTTTTCAGGTAAGTAAAAAAAATTTTTCTCAGGTTGGCCCCCCCACTTTCAAAAACGATGCTACGTGCCTGCCACGGAATACGATTTTCCGTTGTTTTTTTTTTGTTTTTTGTTTTTTTTTAGGGGGGGTTCAAAGTAATAATTTGTGAACTGCCTCACTCCCTCCTTTCTAAAATTTTTGAATCCGACATTAATACCTTTACGTTGTAAAATCTTATTTTTAATTCACCTCAATTTTTGAGTAAATACGAACAGCTCTATGGCGAATTGAACGATTGGTATGTCTGTATACGGATACAGCTTTCCGTCATCGCTAAAAATAAACCGTACTGTATCGTTGATATTTTGCAGATACAGTACAGTTTCTGCTCATTTGCATAAGAAACGCCCACAAAAAGTGTTCTGTATCGCAGTTACAGTATGCTTGAATGTCACAACAACAAAAAATCAATGCAATACAAAAACATATTCACTCATCAAAATTTTTCATCATTTACTTACAGCTTTTAGCATGTTCGTAACTTCGTTTTTGTAGGTTCATTCATATATAGTGTGTTAGATGAACAGCCAACTAAATGATAGGCCAAAACATTAAGCATAATATTGTCAAGCTCATTCTGATCTAAATCTAAGCTTCCAAGGATATACTGACTTCCATTAAGATATATTATCGGAATGAATTTGTACTTGAAGGCCCGAGTTTACATGAAGAAAGTGAAGAGCGTCCTTGGAGACATTAACGGTACCGACTCTAATTTCACCCTGATGAGACTGGCCAACATGAAGCCATTCCTTAGCGGACTGGAGGATAAGGATATGAAGAATATCGAACAAGACGGAACATTCTCCGACAAAATCCACACCATCGCCAAGGCCCCCGAAATGTCACGTGAACAGGTCAGCTAAAAAGCATGACATTAGATTACTTTCATATAGATATACCGGTATAACCAAATAAACAATTTCTTGGGGAAAATAAGTCAGATCGATTTTTGCACTTTCAATTTTTTTCCACTCAAACGTTTTACAGCAGAATATTATTTTAAAAGTAAAGTTTTTCAAGTTGAATTTATTTATTATAGTTGAAGACACTGACTGACTTGTACAAATCTTACTCAAAAATCGAATCCACAGACGAATCAACGTTCTCCTCCTCCATCGACAGCAACACAGTCGATAACATGGCGCCCGAGATTCTCGCCAAGTTGAGGTATAGTGTACTTTTCATTTACTGCAAACTTATATATATATAAGTAAAACTTAACTGGAATATAACCATGTGTTAAGATAAATCTTCATCGGTTTCATTAAATTGTGTTTCTTTTTGATAGTAAAGCCGAGTTGAAGAAGTTCGGTACAAGCAACTGTGACGCCATTGTTCAACGTTTGGCAGAAGCAGACGACAAAAGATTGACAAAGGACGAGATCAAAGAAAAGTTTGAGTTCATTAAGGAATGCAAGGTAACTTTAACTCACCTAATTCATAGAAATAATTGGAAAGCCTTCTAAATAAGTAGTTGCCATACATATACGTGTGTGTGCTGTTTTGTAGGGAAAGACTACCGGAACTTTGACCTCTGATGACCTCTCAGAGGCGGGAAACATGGTAGGTGGTCTTTCTTCGTCTGATGCTGACAGAATGGATGCCGATGCACTTGAAAAAATGGGACCTACTCTTCAGAAATGCAACTTAGAATCCGCCACCAGGAAAAAGATTGCCTCAAATATGATCAGCAAAATGTCCTTGTATGTTAAAAATCTGCTTAGACCTATAATTTCTTCTTTATAGTACAAAGAGGAGAACTAACATTTTATTTTGATTTGCATATTTTCTTTGTAGGACAGACACAAGCCAGATTACGTCATCTGGGTTCATGGTTCTCGGAAACTTTATGACAGAACTCACCGACACCCAATTGGCATCTATGAATAAGGTTTGTTGAAGTTTAGGTGTAAATAGTGTTAAGTTACTGGAATACTTTTTTTTATCCATCATAACGTTAACTTTGGGGTTGCAGGAAACAGTGAATGATGCAACAGATAAGATCATGGAGTCCTTCAAGGAGAACGAGGACAAGAGGAAAGAGAGGAAGAAGAACGCAGTGTCCAAGGAATCCGAATCCACAGAAGATGACAGCTTCAAGGCTGGCAAGAAGAGGATGGTGAAGTTTATTGTCGGCGTAAAGGAGAGCTTAGGCGGACAGCAGGCGTCTGGACGTAGGAGGCGATCTACAAGTATGTCCCATAATGTCTCACTGTCCCATGTGACCTTAGACAGCCTAGTTTTATAAAATTAAGAAATGTTCTAATCTTAAAGAAAGTGTCTTGATTCAATCAAAATACTGATGCTTCTTGCTTGTAGCTCCTTTGACATGCACGGATTTGACAGCTATCGGAACAAGCGGATTATCAGCCCTGTCTACAACACAGATCAGCAACATTCAGGATCAGGACTTTAAGGACTGTGCTGAGCTGTTAGGATCAGTCACAGACTGGTCTGACGCACAGAAGGAGGCTTTGGTGGCAGTGGCTAAAAGATCAACAGTAAGATTCCTATTTAATTTCTGTCCAAAGTTGCCACTGTTTTGATTTTATGAGTCTGGTATCCATTTTTTCTAATGTATCGTAGGTCTGGAATACTCCGTCAACTTGGACCACCACTAATGTTTATTCCGCCGGATCCTTCATTGGCGGATTGACTACCGCTGAGATTGACAGCCTCTCCATCAATCTGGATGCCATATCTCGAATGGGAACTTTCAGTGATTGGGTTGACAGCAAGGTAACTATAGTTCCCTTTTTATACGAATTTTTGAAAACTAAAACGTTTGTTTAATGAGGTTGTGTTTTGTAGAAACAAGCAGTATTCAGTCGCTGGTTGGCCTATGAAAAATCGTCAAATCCCGCCACCATTACCTCCAGTGAGCTCCGATCTCTTGGTCACATGACCTGCGGTGCCAGCACGGGCCATATTGCTACTATTCTCTCTTCAGTTTACAAGTAAGAACAAAGACGATCGAATTGCAGCTTGTATTTTTCTGTGCTAATTTCGAGTGGGATAATGTATGTGGGTTATGTTTCAATAAAATAAAGCTTACTTTATTTCATTACCCAGGGCATCTGCTGACACTGTTGGTGAGGTCACAACTTGCTCAGAATTTCAGCTGCAGTCTTGGATTGCGCATGCCAAGACCGAGTACGGAACCTACACACAGTGGGACAGCGCCACTATATCCAGCGTGGGCATTGTGATGGGTAAATCACTAAGTGTCTGAAATGTTCAAAGTTTCTTTTTATTAAAAAAATTCCATTTGTCGACACACATTTATGATAAATCTGATTTTCTTTATTTAATAGGTGGTTTGACTGCCTCTGAGATCTCAAGTCTAACGGAAACTCAAATTGACAGTATTTCCGCTTTTGACATGTCCCATATCCCAGCCACAGCTTTTGCAGTACGTTATTAAAAGTCTAAGGACTAGTTAGATTATTAATAAAAATGTTGATATTGTGTGTATAATACTTTTAATTACTGGGTTTTTATACACATGGAATCCCCCCATTTTTCAGGGTTTTAGCAGCACCCAGATTTACACCTTTGACCCCGCCCAGGCCCAGGCCGTGACCGCGTCACAGAGGGCCGCCCTCAGCTCCTCCCAGCTCTCAGCCCTGTCCTCCGTATCAGGAATCAGCTACAGCAACACCGCAGGTCAGAGTTAATTTTTACATAGAAATTAGAAAATCTTCTCATTATATCCAATATAGTTAGAAAAAGGCAACTTACGAATATCGCACTGTTTGGAATAAATATAAATTTGAATGTTTAAACACCAAAATTTTTATTGATCCATATTTTTATCAACTAATTCCCGACAAATGAGATTATTTTTTATAATTTTTTAATCGTGCTGACTTGACACTTGATCAAACGTTCACGTATTTTATATCAGTATGCTAGATTTCTAGTACTGTTTTATCAGTCCAAATGATCTGATTTTCCCGTCTTTTGCAGCTGGTGCCCAGTGCTCTGTATTCTTGGCTATCCTGTTAGCTTCATTGGCTCAGTTTATCAACATGGCATAGACGCAATCTTCCCTCTCTTTAGATGTGAAATTTAGCTGCTATCAAATAAATGTTAGTTGTTAAACCATTAAACTCGGCGGTTCTTATTTGTTGTACATGTATATAATATTTGGTGACGAACTTTTGGTCGTACTATCGTTCTTGTTACAACAGAAGAAAAATCTTGAGAAAGTGCTTATTTTTTTATATATACCTCTTGTTAGATACTTTTATTTAAATTTTATATTAAATACTTTTCTAGAAAGAGAGTTGTCTTTCTTTATACAAAAGCTAAAGGTGTTTTAAGGACATGTTACAAACTTTTGTCAAAAAATTTGAAAATAACAGCTTGGGTCATGTTTAAATGAGTTAAATGAATAACTTTCACCGCTTAGTTTATAATTTTTTATTCAAATTTTCACAAAAATGGAATTTGAAGTGAAAAATATTTGAAATGTATAAATTAATCAGGACGGTTTCAGAAGGGTAGACTTTTGAACATCACAGAAGGTTTACAATTTCTTTATATTCTAGAAATTTATTATTTGCGTCATTTGCAATGAAATTAGGCCAAAAAATCCATACCAATCCAGGCACCATTTCTTGTCTGTATACTGTCCTTAAACAGCTGTTAAACTTCCTAAGTTTTCCACATTTTCTTCCTCAGGTATTACTTATTTACCCAATACAATAATATATATACAGAGGACGTGATTTAATTTAATTTAATTTCATAAAAGACAAACTTATGAACAGTAACTTTTGCTGATGGACGCAATATTTTTTTTTACTATCATAGAATACTAGTGAGAGATTTTTATTCTCCAGATTTACCGATGTCTGAAGTTACAAACAAAACCAAACCCTGACATCTCCAATAATGCCGTAAACATGTTAAAGTGACATGCTAATCTATAATTGCTGCAGTTCATTCCCATAAAGAGAGCACGTACATGTACTTCGCTTTCAGATTATTCAGAACTAACTAACCCGTAAAATATACAAAGTGTCCAATCAAATCACGTCCTCTGTAAAAACGTATATTTTGAGACGTGTTAAATACGGTTTCATAAAAGAGCGCCCAAAATAAACACTACGGTTATTCTGGGTTGAGCATTTTCACAACATCAATGGCAAGTGAGGATATAGAAAGTGGATTCCTTTACGCTCACCACATGCTTAATTAAACTTCCACACAGAGTGCAATTTACCGCAGGTAATTAGCCGACATGTTGATTGCATCATCACCTAATCGTCAAAGGTATCGGAACGGGAACCATATGTAACGATAGAAAGGTCACTAATGAATTGACCCTGCGCTATCTCTGCATGTACTATCTACCCTGTCCTGCAAGTGTTTGTTCCCGCGAGTAATAAGGCGTCAGTTAGTGCACATACTGTTTCCTGGTTTAGACGCATTTCAAGTACAGTTTGAAAAAAGCTAGCTTCCAAAGATTTTTTCAACTAACTTAGGTTAATAAGGTTCATTTGCAACATTTTTTCAATCACTTCCTGTCTATTCCAATTTAACTTGGAACTATTGCGAAAAAATAATTTATTTATTTCCGAATAGTTATTTTAATTTTCGGTGAAGAAAATCGAGTTTACACTTGCTTTAGGTGAAATCCTTACCAATAAAATCTTTCATTTTTTCAATTAAATAAAATATTTTTTTACACACTATATAGGGCTATTGTCTTTCACATTCACCCACCTTCAGCTTCTTTACTGTACTTGCTCAATAGCACGACATGCCAATGACCTTGAAGGCAAGACGGGTCATGTAGGACAAAATTTAAGAATTCCCAGCAGAGCTTCGCGTATTAACCGTAAATCATCCCTCTATTCTCTTTATATTGATATTCACGTCAAACTAATTAAATAATAATCTGTCAAAAACAGAGCATGTATTGTTTGGGTTTTAGAAAAATTGCGCACATGTGACTACCACTAAATAATATATAATAAAAAATTAAGCCATTGAAATGATTGATTTTCAAACTAATGGAATTTTGTAAACCTATATGAGAACTGTTTTGAAATATTGTGAAGTAATGCAGTGAAAAATGTGTCCGTTTTGAAAATGGTGCTTGAAGACTATTTCATTAATTAATAAATAACTAAATAAAACATGCCAATGTAACTTTTGATTACTGTATAATATAAAGCTGCCGATTGCGGATAGGACATCAACGATGACGTGGATGATTACGATGTCGTGAGAGACGCTGCACCGCCGGAGGTTTCTCCGAGGATGAATCAAGTCCGCCCAAACTAACGCTATACAACGAACAATCCATCATATGACCTATCTCACACACACCCACTTTTACCTCTATCATTTCATTATTTGCAGTCGTCCGTTATTTCTGAACTTAAATCGAACTAAAAAAAGCACGATCCAGATGTGCAGATGTGAGCAAGATCAGGCTGGTTAACTGTGTACGTGCATCTAATCTAATTTTCAACAAGTTTATCTTAAAAAGAAACAAGAAAGGCGAGAAGCATGCATCTTTCTAAATAAAACAAATACATATACTATATCAAATTTTGAAAAGGTGTACTAGATAACAAACAGTGATCGATTACAGGAAAACTACCACCGATACAATTCTGTGAGTAACCCATAAAACACAGACCCCATTAATTCCAATGGTGGGATCAGTTGCCTAGAAGAAATAAACATCTCCTGTTGACCGACCCCCCCCCCCCCGTAATATGAGCATTTAATGAAGAACATGCAATACAAGTATTAGACAACTATAAACAATGAAACACAGATTACACTTTACCCCACCTCTGTTGATTTTTCGAACGAAATCCTGGCTAACGATTGGTTGAAGCCTGTCACGTGAAGGATACAAGCACTAGACATTATTAACAACGATGAACAAATAAAGCTAGAGACATTTATGAAAGTTTTTCACAATAAAGAAAAAAAAAGTTATCCCATACAAGTACTAGGCAGTTCTTAACAATAAAGAAAAGGTTGGAAATATTTTTAAAAAACAGTCACTGCATATTAACAATAGGGTACACTTTGTCTCATACATGTATAGTGATGACTGGTCTTATCACCCGATCTCTGACAAGATATTGTTCTGGTCTCTGACAATTTATTGTTCGACTTTGTCAAGAAGTTATTAATTTTATTTGGGGAGAGAGGTTGAGAGTTTTTTTGCAGCCCGGAGGACCGGGCTGCTCTATACATATAAGTTTAAGTGTTGGTGTATGGTGATTGGGGTGGGAGAAGTTATTTAGAATTAAAGGTTTTCTAAACATTGAAAAGGTTGTTAAACAGAATGCTCTTTCCGTTTCTAAATTACTAGATACATAATATATTTACTTCCATAAAGTGAATATGTAAAAATAGATATGCTTTACATATTTAATATATAAAGTTGCTTATCATTTTTCCTAGTCGAAAAAACGAAAGATTCCTTTTATTTATGTAACATCGAATTTTACTTCTCGCATAAAAACGTACTCTACATAGTTCATGTTTTATATTCTAAAAATTTAAAATTAATACATTTTTGAATATAGGTGATACATGTGTCTTACTTTAATTTATATTTTATGTAGCAAACAGTTACATGAGTAATTGATCAAGTTTAAAATGGTATCGTTTTTGTTTGATTTTTATCCGACTATAAGTTTTCAAAATATTCGCGACTATCGTCGCCATCAATTAGACACATGCCTTCTCACACATATCAAAGCGGTTTGATGATCAAGACTCATTTCCATTGTTTACTTTATATATTTCCCGGGCGACAATTGACAGTTACATCAATGTTTACTTGTTTTCTTTGTATTGAGTTTTGAAAACTTTTAGGGTAAAATTTGCTTTTCGTTCAAAGGTCTTCTATACTATTGACTCAAATTTTGCGACTGTTATCTGTATCCTGCAAAAGATCTATATAAGATCTATATACATGTATATATAGAAATCTGAGCAATTGACGAAGGTGGATAATGCTTTAGCCAATCTTAATGCCTGGATCTTAAAAACAAATTTTTATTACATTTATTCTATCAAAATATCATATTCTGTCGTTGGAGTTTGGATCAAAAAGAATAAACGAAGAAAAAATCACAACTAAATCTGCATGACTTCGGGTTAAAGATCAATTTGGTCGGTCGGTTAGAAGAGGCAAATTTCGCTGGGGAAATTTATTTCTCAACAATTTATGGTCGCGTTTGATTGTAGAGGGCAGGATATTGTTTGCTGGTCGTCTATTGTTTATTGGTATAATATACATGCCAACTTCTAGGAAGACAGTCGTAATGTAGATAAAATGGTTTTCCAATAGTCATTTTCTCGTTCCGTAGTTTCTGAGACATTTACAGCAATAAATAGGTTTCTTTTTTGTTGCTTAAATAGGTTCGACTGATCATTCGTCGTAGATATTTGTCCCTTTCTTATAATTTCTCCAACATTTATTATATACAGATCTTTATCATGATCTAAAACGACCATCTGATGTAATTTTATTCTATTGATTTGCTCCTTATCTATCACTTATAACCAGCAAAGTTCGCCAGTACACCGCCATCACTCGAGGCCTCGGGCCACGTTCCTTTGATGGGTAAAGGACAAAGACTTACCCGATCTAGGCTGATGATCAAACTCGTTCTTTCTACAAATCATTTTTCGCCATATTTAATTAATTTCGCTCAGAAGTTTCCATTTTTATATATGATGGTCCCATATATTTCAAGAATAAATATATGTATCAATTTATATAAACATAATTACAACAGATCATTTGATTTCGCCAATGATGAATTTCTATTTTCAAACATATCTAGAAATACTGCCTTGAAACATGCAATCCGATCAGTGGAATAGATGCAGGGTAATTACATCAGTAATTAGCTTCAGCCGTAAAATGAATCGCTCTACATTATCTATATTTTGCTGCGCTTACTGTAATAATTACACAGAGCAGATTAATGAGATTTTACATGTAAAAAGACCCAAGAAAATAACTACGATAAAGATTAATGTATGTATCTTAAAGTATCTTTATTTCGGTTGTCGTAAAATGTGAGTAGCTTTAATTCTTGCACATTTTCCTTATTTCCCTTAACAGATTTGTCCCAGCTAGCTTTTCTATTGATTTCATGTCCCAAACAGTGCAATTTGTGCAGGGAATTATTACACCTACTGCTATTGTGGGACATGCGTTTCTTTAACAAGATTTTGGAGCAAAAGCCCATTTCCGTAAAGACCAAGAGATATATGACAGACTTTGATTA